GTAAACCCCAGGCCACTGGAACTAGTCGACGGGCAACCCTGGGGGCACTGCTGTTCCTTCATCTTCAGAGCTCACTTAGGGCGGCAGAACCATAAAAGGAGCTTCAGATAGGGAAGTCACTGGTAATCGGAGGTGGAGCCAGCCAGGGTTGTCTCGGTGTCTGACGTTTCTAAGTGCTTCCAGCTGAGCAGGAACCAGGCTTGCATATTCAGACAATGTATTCTTGTGAATCTTTGTTTGGTGGCTTAATGCACCATCAAAAGAGGTCCATTGTCAAGCAGCCTGTTTCCTGGGTGGGAGTCAGCAATATGCAGCGTAAGTGGGTACAGCCAATGTGGCTCAGAGGCTCCCAGGCTTGGGCCCTCGGCTGGGGGTGGGTTCTGCCCATGCTTCTGAAAGGAGAGCAGCTAATGTGACTCCCTGAACTCCACCCCTTTCAAGAGCGGACGCTTTGCTTGTTATTTTTGGCTGGTTTCATGTGTTCACTCGTTCTAGAAATATTTTGTGATCACCAACCGCAGGTCAAGAACGGAGGAGGTTTATGTCTCTAATTTCTTACTTGTCACTGGGGAAGATGAGTTTTCAAAGTTCTAGTCATTTTATTGTTTTTATATTTTGCCCATGGTCATCAGTGTGCAAGTTCTCATTTCTGAAATGGTGAGTGCTAATGATTATTCTTCTCTGCTACTTTGTGTTAGGCACCAGGACAAGCATGTTACACCCACCATCACATTAATGATTTCATTTATCACACTGATTCTATAATACTAAGACTACTATTATCCCGTTTGGGCAAAGGAAAAAAGCTGAGGCTTGAAGAGGGGGTTAAGGCTCAATGCATTGCTTTGATTTCAAAGCCCAAACTCAGACCCTCCCCTGACCCTATCCCTCCAGGCCTAGGTAACAAATGGCTGTGGCTGGCCCCGCCAGGCTACCAAGCTGCCACCCTTAGGGATGGACTAAAGCTGTGATGCAGGTGATGGAAGGTTCCAAGCCCTCCATCCGGTTCACACTGCACAGAGAAGCCCGTGGCTGGGCACGGGACAATGTGTGTCTAGCTTTAAAGAGATGGTCACACAGCACTGGGCGAGTCACAGAGCACTGTTCCACTTTCCAGACTCCCAAGCTAAGTGTCACATCTAAGGAAACTTGAGGCTCAGAGCTTAAGCCACGTGCCTGAGGTTACAGAGATGACTGTTCACACGCAGTTGTCTCAATAAATGTCTGCTGTGCACATTTGCTGGTAAGCGGCCAAAGCAGGTGAACTAGGTCTGTCAAACTCCAACTTCCTTGTCCTTTTCTTTTTTTGAGGCAGTGTCTTGCTCTGTTGCCTAGGATGGAGTGCAGTGGTGCGATCACGGCCAACTGCAGCCTTGCCTTCCTAGGCTCAAGCAATCCTCCCAACTCAGCCTCCTGAGTAGCTGGGATCACAGGTGTGCACCACCATATCAGCTAATTTAAAAAATTTTCCATAGAGACAAGGCCTCACCATGTTGCCCAGGCTAGTCTCAAATGCTGGGCCCAAGTGATCCTCCTGCCTCAGCTTCCCAAAGTGTTGGGATTACAGGCGTGAGCCACTATACCCGGCATCTGTGTTCTTTTCACTGCGTCTTCACATAGCAGGAAAAAGACAGCTGTAGTTCTGTAAGTACTGAGCCCAGGATGAGGGTTCTCTCCATTATTAGAAGGGGCCCCTGTATGGATTCCAGGTCATCCTCCCTTGCAGTGTCAGTTCCAGATTCTCAGTGACTTCAAGGTGGCCCAGGAGTGACCTGAGTCCCCTGGTAATGCAGGGAAGTCACCCAGGGACGCTGGCTAAATGCAGAGTCTCGAGCCCTTCCTGAGAGTTGGAATCTGCAGGCACTGGGGACCTCAGGTGATGCTGCCGACATGCGAAAACATGGCCCTAATATATTTTAGGCCAGTGTACATGTGACACATTTGCCATCTTGTGCCCTCAAATTTTCTCAGAGCTATAAAGTTTTAAATGCTGTTGAAGTGTGAAGCCAAATAAGGCTTTTCCCCTGGCGGTTTTGCAGGTCAGTTTTGGCCTCCTGAGCCTCAGATGGTTTGCTGTGTGGTCAGATTTTGCAAAACAGCTGTTTATCTGAGCTTTAATTCCTGTTTTCAGGAGCTCAAGTGTTTGTGTATGGGCTGCTATGCTCACACACTCTGCTTTCTTCTCAGTCACTCACATACCTGCACCAGGTCACCCTGTGTGCCACCTCGACCTCTAACTCCCAGTGCATGGCAGCTGTCCATAAAATGCTGCAAGAAATGCTCACTGTGGGCCTGCTAACAAATGCCTGAATTTCCGAATCTGGAGCTTCGTCGCACTTCATGGTTCACCCTTCCCTGGAGCTGACCTCATGGTAGAGGGCTGGAGCAGGCCAGCTTTGACCGGCAGCCAGCCAAGAGGCAGCACAGGGTTGTGGCCAGGAGCTTCATGTCTGAATCCTGATGTCAGGACTCAAAATTCTGGCCTCCACCCTTCATGAGTGACTTGACTTTTTGGCAAGTCACAGCTCAGCTGCTCTAAGCATCAGTTTCCTAATCTGTAAATGGGGAAAGTAATCATTCCTACCTCACAGTGCTGCCGAGAACTGCAATCATGCTGCTAAAGTGCTTGGCTGGTGCTCAGCACCCGTGGAGGCCTCAGTAGGATGAGCTGCCGGTGGTCCACAGATCTGCCTCCATGGCGTGTGGGGACCTTGCTCCTTAGCACAGTACAGGTGACGCTGGGGCTGGTCCTGCCTGCCTTCAGCCTGCTGTTTCCTTCTCCTGTCTGTTCCAGCTGTTGCAGGAACTCAATCTGTGCAGGTCCCGAGAATGAGCTCCGCCCCTTTCTCCAGGCAGCTCCCTGACAGTCATTGTTACTTAGCCATCTCTCCCCGCTTCTCAGGGACAGAATATGAGGCTGTCTTTTGCAACCAAAGGCCTGGCACTGTCTAGACACAAATGGAATGCTTGTGGAATGTGCGAGCCTCAGGTGCGTAGGAGTAAGGTGACTTAATTTAGTGGACTTCACCTCCATCCCAGGCAGCTGGCTAAAGAGGCCAGGCCTCTGTTGCGGGGACACACTCTCAGGCACCCCTCCTAGAGACGTGAGCCCATTCACTCCAAATTACCCACATGGCACATAACAGGGAGAATCAAAGATGTCCACGGGGTTGGAGACCATATGGGGGGCAAAGCAGAACAGGCTGAATAACTTCAGTAACGGTTATTGCCACCACAACCACTGCACTGCCACCACACACACGTTCTAAGAATGGGGAAGATTAGGTCTTAAGCCTGAAACAGTATCCAGTGGTGGGCTAGGTTGGGCACGGTGGCTCATGCCTGTAATCCAGGCACTTTGGAAGGTTCAGGTGGGAAGATGTGAGCCCAGGACTTCGAGACCAGACTGAGCAACCAAGTGAGACCCTGTCTACAAAAAAGAAAAAAACAAATGGGAGAAGTGGGTACAGGGTTAGGGGAGAGGAGAAAAAAAGAGGGTGTGGGGAGTAGGGGGCCGTGGCTGAGGCCACAAGGACCTGGGTCCACATGGCTGCCCATCACTCACTGTGGGAATGTGCCTACTGATGTATTGTGCCCTGCCAGACTAAACGCATGTAAAGGAAACGTGAGCCCAAGCACAGGAAGCCCTCAAAGGACCTGAGGTGGAGAGACAGGGGTAAGCCTCTAGTTCCTGGCCTCACCAGGGAGGCTGGGCTGTCGGGGGGCTGGTGGATAAGGGAGGGGCTGCTTTCAAGAGCATCAGAGGGTGATGGAGGGGGTCACTGGTTTCAAATAGACACCGTTCCAGGCTTAAAATCACATACAACCGATGAACATTTTATCATCAGATAGAAAGCTGGGTTCACCTCTCCCTGGATGATCCAGGTCACTACGTTAGCTTTTCCCAGAAATATCCCAATAGAAAGCCACTGGATTCCATGCTCAAGTCCATTTTTCCTGGTAGCACGGTGTTTAAAAGGGGTTGTCTTGGACTGTGAACAGGCATTACATCTACCAACATTTTTTTTTGAGATGGGGTCTTGCTTTGTCATCTAGGCTGGAGTGCAGCGGTGATAACGTTGGCTCGCTGCAGCCTCTGCCTCCCAGGTTCAAGCAATTCTCCCACCTCAGCCTCCCGAGTAGCTGGGATTACAGGTGTGAGTCACCACACCCAGCTAATTTTTGTATTTTTAGTAGAGATGGGGTTTCACCATGTTGGCTAGGCTGCTCTCAAACTCCTGACCTCAGGTGATCTGCCTGCCTTGGCCTCCCAGTGTTGGGAACACAGGCATGAGCCATCACGCCTAGCCATGTTTACCAACTTTCATGAAAGACAACAGATGGAAATACCAAGACCAGCACTTCAGGATCCTCCATGCCGCAGTTTTGGCCTGCTTTCCACTGCTGCGGTCCTCTGCGGCTAGAACGGCATAACAGAGTGTGTATTCTGCGTGGTGGGAATCCCAAGGATGGCCTTGGAGCCAGAACCACCTGTGTGCTCTCCTGCCTTAGTCATTTACAAGCCACACATCTCTTGTGTGTGAATGAACGTCTCCGAGCCTCACTTGTAAGCTCTGTAAAGCTGAGGGTTTCACGCCTCTCCTGGGCTTGTGGATTCAGGGGGGTGATGCAGGCAGACTGCCTGGGCCAGGTCTGCTCCACCGTGTGGCAGCACTAGCCGTGACAGAAGCAAACACATGACACTCAGTCTGTGTGCTGTCCACATGGCAACACGTAGGTCTTGTGCCCCTCCACCTTCTTCCTGCCCTGTTCACACTGACAGGCGCAGAAGTGGACCTGGTGGAGGTAGGACAGGAAGGGGCCGAAGGCCTGCAGTTTGTAAGTGGGGGCAAGTGCTACGTATTTGTATGTATCCAGAGTGAGCTCTGATACAGGTTGGAGTGACCTGTGTTATCTAAATGCCCAAAGCCAGATGAAGCCTTGATTCTTTCCTGTCAGCAAGGTAGTGAACCACTCACAAAATGGCCTGATTTCAGATGTTTGGGATCAACTGAGAATATGTTTATTTAAAAGCAATTTTTAAATATTAAAAAAAGTAGAAATTAACACATACAGTACTGAAAAACTGTCACATTAAACACATGTGAAACGACAAGTGTACTGATGTTTGGTGGTAACATCCAGATGAGAATTCGGCATTTAACTAGTGGCACTACAGGATTCCTATACAACATGTTGAAGTTCTAGGCAATAAAAAAATAAATAGCAATTGCTGTTCAACAGTAAAATAAGACACACACTATTTGCAGAACATAACTTTCCCCTCTAGGGGAAAAAGAACTAATTTGCTATTTTTTTTTCATAAGGTTCCATATCTCCAAAATACTATATAATGTACAAAATTGCAGATAGTGGCTTGCTGAGTTTAAGATCAAGATCAGACTTAAACTCAACAAGATCATCAAAGGTATTTCTACCGAGTTTTCCTATGTCCCACAGTAAGCTGGGTTCGAGAGAACTCAAATTCCTGATGGAAAACAAAACCGAACAAAAAAAACTAGAAAAAAAAAGATATTAAAAATGCAGTGCAGGTTGCTGCAAAAGGGGAAAAAGAATAGACACTAACTCCATGTAATTTTAGACATGCTGCTTTTGTGTTTTTTTTTTTTTTTTTTTTTAAACCAGTTTATTTTGAGATTAGTGAAAATAGTCTAGGCCACAAAAATGAATAGCTCTTTAATGCAAGTTAAAATGTGTACATGAATGACTGGGACACTGAGCAACCTCAGATGCTGACTTCTGTCCTGACACCAGTGTGGCTTCAGTACTGAGGCCGCTAAAGCTGCCAGTCACACCCCAGCATGTCAACTGGTTCCTCACACTCTCAGTTTGGTATGGAAATTCCCATGTGCCCTGACACTGAGGAAGCAATTGCTTAAAATCACTTTCCAATAACAGCTGATAAAATATTTTGCAGGTTTGTCATGCAAGGTTTATTTATTAAGTGGCTATTCAAAGTCTGTATAGCAACCACTTAAGCAGAACTAAATTAATATTCACTGAGCGCTGTAAGAATCAAAGAGGGCTTTTCCTAAGGGTTGGGTTGGGAGTTGTGCTTCTGTGAAATTAACATCCCTCACTCATTGCCAAGATTCTCTGCTTAAAAATATTAGTTTTCTGTGCTGTTGCCAAAATAGCAATTTAAGCAAATGTAGTGCCAGAATGACACATGAGCCTCGGACTCAGGGAACAGTTTCACTGACTGTGGAGTACAACTATTGTATTCTTCTCCAAATTTCAGGCTGATGTAAAAGACTGAAATACAATGTTCTTAAGGATCTGATAAACATGGCTGGGATGAAAAGAAAACTGAGAGGTGGAGAGTGCTTTTCACAGTGCAATTCACAGCAGCGTTCGAACTTGGTTATGAATTGACTTGAAGGTGGATGGAGCCTAAGACTGGACAACTTATTATAATTGGGGTTTAACAAAGAGCATGGGAAAAGAAATGTTTGGTTTCAGCACCTGGATTCTATAGCAGGGAAACTGTGTGAAGGGTTGACTTTTAAATTCTTCATCTTGAGTAATCTTAAAAGTTTAAATTTGTCCAAGAACAAAACTAAGAAAATAATTAAAAATGGATGCAATGGATGCTTCAACATATCTGAGGGATGTGCATTTATAACACGGTATGTCCATCCATACTCTTGAGAAAGCCAATGATTTGAAACAAATATTGTTGCAACCTTATAATTTCTGCTTTAATGGCAATCAAGTTTAAAAAATGTACAGTTCCACTTATCCATACTATTCCTTTATAAAAGGCAGATTTCAGGTAAGCTTCTAAATGCATGCATAATGTAGAGGCTAATATTTTCTGGCAGTCCTTGGTTCCTGAAAGTTGAACTTCATACGTATTTTAAACTTTTGTCAAAATAGTCATGAAAGATATGTTACTTTTGCATAATGAGGTAATATATCGGGGCGGGCACTCATAAGACAGTATAAATCCATTTGTCTAAACTTGCATGAGGCTGTGTGCATTGTAAAATGCCACAAAGAGTTTTGGGTCAGTGAATATTTTGCTGAAGGAATAACACTTACATTTAACTGAGCACTTTTCTGTAATAAATACCAAAGTAGGTTTTTGTAGCTGTAAACTGTGTACACAGATAACTACAGGCTGGTCTGTCATGGAGCTAAAAGTTTCACCTGGAAAACAGAACCCACCTCCTTGCTAATGTTGCATTTTCAGTAACACAATTGAGAATACTGCATTGTTAGGAACAGAGAGTCAATTCTATGCCTTTCAACGGTTGCTGGAGACCACTTCTATTTGCAAAGCCAGCAGTTCCTATACTCCTATTTTCGTTTGTTTGCTTGTAAAACAGCATAGAGAGATGTAAGTGCTAGATGCCAAGGACGGCTTTGGCAAACCAGTAAGGTGCACCAGGTCCGAGGCTACCCTCATACTGGCGAAGGCGGAAGACCACAGGGTATTTACAATACACACTATATCCCCCCTCCTGAGGTGGCCCTTCCATGAGTTTCTTACTCTGTAACAGCAGCTATATACACACTGTGCCCAGGGTTACATGGAGGCAGCAGTCTTGCATGAAGGATGTGGACAATCATAAGGTTCTGCTTTTTGCTAGTCGGATAGGATATGAACAAAGGACACTGGAAAGACCCCCTTCCTTTCAGGCTGTCCTTCGATGTGCCCAATCTGCAGGGAAAAAAGAGAGTGGTCAGGATGGAGGCAGCAGGCAGTGGCCCCATGACAAGCCCAGTCCAGTCTGCCCACAGACATGGGGTGGAATCCCAGGCTTACTCTTCTTCCCATCCTTTAGTGGACTACAGAGAGCTTAATGGTCATAAACGACATAAGGAAATAGCAAACGACAGAACTTCCAATATACCCAGCATCCTACATGGATCTTGCTGCACCCACACAGCAACCTCGAGGTAGGTATTTCTCATGCAGTTTACAATCTTCATTTTACAGATGATGGGACAGTAGCCCAGAGAGGTGGCATGCTCTCCCACAAGCGTGGGTCTCTAGAGTCCTTGGGGCTGGCAGCCTTTACAGCTGGGTGACCTCAGACAAACCTTGCTAAGCCTCTTCTCTGTAAAGTGGGGCTAAAAAAAAAAATCCCTTCTTCTCAGGCTTGTGCGATACATTTAAGGAAGAAAAAAAAAGCACGTGAAAAGGCTGCTATGTACTATCACTTGTTTTCCAGTTAGCAGGGAGGAAGAATACTGTGAAAGTCTGAGACTGATGGTGGCCAATGGCAATTTTACTGTCTGCTGCATTAGCTTGTAAGCCATAGTTACCCATGGAAGTTTTTTAATTACATCAATTAGATCAGTTTAATTGCACTAAAGAGAATCATGCAATGAGCCTTCAATAGAAAAAACAAAATGGTGCACACTGGCTTCAAATACCAAATTGATAGGGAGGAGGGTGGTTTTAAGAGTGGAACAGAATCAACTAGGCCCACTCAGCTCTCCTGAAGGCCTGCCCACCTACCGCATGTGGGAGGTCTTTGTGAATTTCACAACACAGGATGTGTGTGTGGCACTACCTTTGTCTGGCTAGGCACGTAATGGTGGCACATACCACATTCCCTAGGAATGATGCTAGGGAAACCAATGACAACTTCCTACTCTCCTCAAGTCTCTGCTGCAGTCATCAGTTTCTTCGCAAAGAACATGATCACTGCTTGATTATAATACTATTAAATGATTACGAAGTGAATTCCTCAACATCCTTGTGAGAGAGGATTAATCATGCCTCATTTTTCAGCGGAAACAAGCTTACAAAAGGACATGCTTTATCCAAGGGCCATGGAGCTAGTAACTGATTCACTGGGAGGGCTTCAGAGCCCATCTCCTCGTCATGAGACCAAGTGGGCTCTCTGACAGGATCTATGCCAGGGGCAGGCCCCAGTCTGCTGACAGAGGCTGGAGATACCCCCTGGCCGTCCCCAGGTTGGTCCCTTCAGTCCAGGGTTTCTCACCTTGGTGCTGCTGGCATCCTTGCTTGTGGGGGCTCCCTGAGCACTGCAGGATGTTTACTGGCATCCCTGGCTTCTACCCACTAGGTGTTGGTAGCAACCCCCTTCCTTCCTAGGTCCTGACAATCAATGTTTCCAGATATTATAACTGTCCCTGGAGGGCAAAATTGCTCCAGTTGAGTCCAAACAAAATCCCTGCAGCTGTGATTAAGAATTTGCGGTCACTGTCTAGGCCTGAAGGAAGAAAAGTCAAAGGTGAATGTGTGTCTATGCACATGTGTGTGTGCACACATGTATATACACATATATTTCTGGGCATTCTTAGGTACTGCTGGCTCAGCTGTGAACCTCAGGTCCCTTCCTGGCAGGCAGAACTGAGTCCCTCTTGGCAGGAGAGGGCTCGGGCTGCCAAGGAAGGGGAATTTTCATACTGACGTCAGAAAATGATCAACAAGGAAAGCAGAACAGGTGGCTGGTTCACTGTACCTTGGCCTGGCAGTTCCCATCAGGAGACTTACTCCCTGGCAACTGGAAAATGAACAGCTGTGTGGATTGCCCTTGCAGGTCACTTATAGCCTGGGTACCTAGCAGGGCCTCTGAGGATGCTGATGTCTTTCCCTCCTGATGCCTGGGCTGCAGCTTTTCACGTAAAAGGAGTTTTCATAGATATTTTCATTTAATCTTTTCCTAAAATTACATGAAGAAGGTATCATGGCCCACTTGACAAAGAGAGGACTGCAGACTGGATTAAGAATTGAGCCTGAGGGCGTGTTAACTGCTGAGCCTGAGCAGGAACTCAGGCCTTCTGATTCCTGGCCTGGGGACGGTGTGGAATGGTGAGCAAAGTACACAGGCTCTGCAGTCAGAGCCCATCCGGAATCTGGACTTTGCAGCTTACTGGCTGAGGGACACAGGCAACATGCCCAACTTTCTTCAGCTTTAGTTTTGTATCTGAAAAATCAGAAAACACCTACAACTCACAAGGTTACATGATACCATGGGTAAAGCACATACAAATGTTAATTCTCTTGACCTGTCTTCAAAACCCCAAGGCTGTTTTTCTAGCATGTAATAGTGTGTGACACAGAAAAGGTACCAAATGCAATGGCTATTGGGTGAGTGATGCAGCTGACAGGGTCCCTGTGCTCAAGGGAGCTTTTTTTTTTTTTTTACGCTAGGTACAGAACTCAAAAGGGTGCTCTTTTACTGCACTGTCTGCAGGCTCCAATGTGGTGCTTGCCCAGGCACCTGTATGAATGCACAGATGAAGTGGACAGATATTCATACATACCCACCACTCCTGGTCCTCTTCCCCTGTGACGATAATCACTTCTCCCTCGATGAATGTGAGCTCGTCGTCATTGTCTGCCTGGCAGTCATAAATAGTCTTCACCCGCCTCACTTTATTTTTCCCCTTAAAGAAAGAAACTGGGTTTTAATGGAAATAATGGACTGAACGGAAAAAAACAGTACTGGTTCTTTGTAAACGGTTGACCTTGGGTAAGTAACTTAACCTCACTGGGCCTTGATTTCCCTACCCTTGAAGGGTGGGAAGAAGAATGTCTGCCAGGCACCCAGCATGCTGTGTGCTCTTAAGGAACCACAGGTCATTCCTCTTCCCCCAGCATCAGGGTAGGCATAGGCTCTGCATTGGTGATTGGACATCATCAAGTTATTTTCACCAGATGGGTCCAGGTATGAAAATTCAGCCTCACCAAAAACCATGAAGCAACTCTGTACCCCCAACACCCAACAACATCAGCTTGCAGAATGATAGCAGAGTCTAAAAATGTTTTGAGGAAACATGACGTAAAGCAAAATGTGCAGTTTCTCCATACTGAATGTGCAGCATAAACAAATTTCTCAGTCCCCTCATGCAAAACAGCAAGTCAGTACACGCTGGTTAAACACAGCAGTATCGGCCTGGGGCTAGGAGGAGTCTATGCAGTTCCTAAAACAGTTTTAATTTCTGATCAGTTTTGACTTCAGTGTTTATTTGTTGGACTTCCAGTTCTTTGCAAACAGAAAAGTGAAAATAGAGGTATCACCTTCTAAATGATGGGTTTTTTGGTTTGTTTTGCACCTGGCTAATGAGCAATTTAAAAAAACAGCAAGCTGGTCTCTTTAAATGTTTTGGGTGGAATGATTCTTCCTCTGTGTTTCCTGGTTTCTCCTTTAATCACTCTGATAGTCCCAGCTGCTTTTTGAGTTCCCTTCCGGGCCTATGTGGGTGGGTCAGAGAAGCCTGGGAGTCCGTGAGCAACTGAGAAGGCCTGTAGTGTGTTAACTTATAACGCACAGATTAAATGAGATAATAAAACTACAGAGTATGTGGCGTGAAATGACAACTTTGCAACAGTGGTGTCTGGGAGTCATAGGAGAGTTCCCTTTTGAATAGCAGAAATATCCACCATGCCAGACATGGCAGCCTCCAATTCATAAGATGAGTAAAATTTTTCTGAAGTATTGGTAAGATATACTTTTATTGTAACATTTTACTTATTTATTTATTTTTTGAGATGGGGTTTCACTCTGTTGCCCAGGCTGGAGTGCAGTGGTGTGATCACAGCTCATTGTAGCCTCAACTTCCAGGGCTCAAGCAATCTTCCTGCCTCAGCCTCCCAGGTAGCTGGGATTGCAGGCATGTGTCACCATGCCTGGCTAATTAATTTTTATCTTTTATAGAGATGGGTTCTCTGTATGTTGCCTAGGCTGGTCATGCATCCTGGGCTCAAGGGATCCTCCTGCTTTGGCCTCCCAAGGTGCTGAAATTACAGATGTGAGCCACTGCACCTAGTCCCATTTTAATTTTTTTGAGACAAGGTCTTGCTCTGTCACCCTGGCTGGAGTGTAGTGGTGTGATCACAGCAGCCTTGAACACCTGGCCTCAAGTGATCCACTGGTCTCTTCCCAAAATGTTGAGTACTGTAACATTTTTGTAACAGAATGTGAGGCGGGTAGAGTTGCCATACGCAATGGGAGAACTTTTATTTTCCCTGTTGACTGTGCTCCTTCTCCTCCTGGGGAGCTGGTGGCCTGGTGGGAGGGCAGCTAGGTTCTGGATAAAAAGCATGTGACATCTTCCTGGGTCACCACATTTCCACAAAGAATGTGAGGGATAAAATCACTTATATTAAAATAAAATTAATACAGAGTAGGAAACATTTCATGAAAATGACAGCATATGGGATTTCTACAAAATTCTATGCTATTCTATTATATTGACAGCTTTACCTCCAATTCCTTTAGGAAGATGCAGTGAGAAGGTCTGACTTAGCAGATACTCAGGGAGCCAGGTGCAGTGGCTCACGCCTGTAATCCCAGCACTTTGAGAGGCCAAGGTGGGAGGACTGCTTGAGCCCAGGAGTTCAAGACCAGCCTGGGCAACATGGAGAAACCCTGTCTCTACCAAAAATGTAAAAAAAAGCCTGGTGTGTGATGTCCATCTGTGGTCCCAGCTATTCAGGAGGCTGAGGTAGGAGGATAACCTGAGCCCAGGAGGTTGAGGCTACACTGAGCTGTGACTGCACCACTGCACTCCAGCCTGGGCAACAGAGTGAGACCATCTCAAAAAAAAAAAAAAAAAAAAAAAAGACAATAACCAGACTCCTGAGAGGGAAATTGCTTTCTCGTAACCCTCAAGAAAGGAAAAGTTTCACCCTCAATGTTCCTAGGTAACAGAGACTACTTGCTGAGTTGTCTAGGTGCCAGCCAAGTGCTGCTCATCTGTCACTGTATTTAATCACCTGTGAGCTCATATAATATATTAGCTCCTTTTTTTATGTGAAGAAACTGAGGCTCAGAGAAAGTAACTTGCCAAGGTTGTGCAGTTATGTTAGGCACTTAGGCCAGGTCTTGAAGCCTGTCTGCTGGAGCCCAAAGCCTGAGTTTGTAACCCAAAGGCTCCAATCCACCATCATGCTTGAACCAGAGCACATAAGGGTCAGGTGAGCAGGCTCTCACTTTTTCTTGTGTAAGTTGGAGTACTCGTCCTCCCACCAGCTTGCAAAGCACAGCATAGGGTTCCTAAGGGCCTGGACATTGGTCCCACCCACCGTATTGATTTTTCTGGGCAGTGGTACGGGCGTCTCTGGCAGAGTAGGCGTGAGGTCATTGGAATCTTCAGATGCTTGCTTGTGGATGGCATCTCTGGACTGCACATTTGGGGACAGATCCAATGGGTGTGACTTCGATGTGACCTCTGAGGGTTGCTGAGCCTTGGGTGAGACATCTCCAGTCTGGGATTTTGCTAGCAGGTCTCCCAGCTGTGGTTTGGGGGGCAGGTCCTTCATCTGTGGTTTGGGAGGTAAGTCTGAGAGCTGGGGTTTGGGTGGCAGGTCCCCCAGCTGTGGTTTGGGGGGCAGTTCTCCTGGCTTAGGTGGCAAGTCTCCAACTTGGGGCTTGGGTGCCAGTTCTGTGGGCTTCGGGGGCAGGTCTCCAGGTGGTGGCTTTTGTGGCAACTCTGCCAACTGTGATGATTTCTGAAACATTTCAGGTGGGATATTGGCTTTGTCTACGGAGAGATGATCTGTTTTCCTTAGTGCCACTGTGGAAGCAATCAAAGAAAGCGAGGTCATTGTTGGGAAGGGCTCCTTTCCTGGTCACCTAAAAAAGGCACAATCATCATGAAGGTAACTGACCCACAGTGAGCACTTGAAATGGATGAACTCAGGAGCCAGGCCCACCCAGGCTGCCAGTTTTTACAGACAAAGGTTGAAAGCCTGGAACACATTACGATGCATGATTTCATGCTTCAGTGTGTAAGAAAAGAATGTCTACATTCATCCAGAATTTAAAAAATAAATATAATAGAAACAGATGGCAGAGAATCAGAAAATACAGAGTTTTTAAGCCTAACACCTGAAATGAATTTGAAATTTCAAATTTCAAATTTCATTTGAAATGAAATTTCAAATGAATGTAGCCATTTGAAATTAGTTTCTATAGTTTCTTTAAAATTTTCTATATATTTTCTATAGATATAACTTTTATCTGATTTTATCTAGTACCATTTTAGCAACAGTATTTGCCATGTTACTAAAAATTATTTATTAGTGGTATGTAATTCTGAATGGTGCATTCTATTCCATTCTATAGCTATATCACAATTTATTATTATTTCTCCCCATTTTACACGATTCATGCAGTATGTAAGATAAGAAGCAAAAGGCTTCTCCTCTCACTCTGTGCCCTTGTCTCTTAACCTGCTACATTTTGGATACACATGCATGTGCTATGCCTCTTAAAAACCACACAAGGGATACATAAATTGTCTGAAACTTTGTTTTTCTCCCATTTAATATGTTTAGGAGAGTTCCAAATCAGTTTTTTATTCTGTTTAATGGCTGCATAGTACGCACAACTTAGGAAATGCATCAATTTGTTGACCTGATCCCATAGCTCTTTGTACAGCTCTTGGTACTTAGAAAACTATGGACATGTCTCCAATTCTAGCTCCACCACTTGACAGCTGAGTGACCTTGGGCAAATTACACCACTTTTCTGTGCTGCAACTTACTCGTCTCTTAAAACCCTACCTCAAATGGTTGGCATGCAGATTACATGGGTTAATATATGCAAATTAATTTACTGACAGGCCCTGGCAGGCTGTAAGCATTATGTAGGAGTAGGATTACCATCACTGTTACAGGTTTTTGAGGCCCACATTCCTATTCTACTCATTTTTGTAACTGTGGCTCCTAGCACAGAGGCCAAGCACATAGTATGCACTCAGGGAGAAACGGCTGACTAAGGCACACTAAGTGACCCACACTAGGAATTTGAGCTTAAAAATAAATGTATTCAGAAGGACATTCTTAAAGTAGAAGAAGAAACAGATAAACCTCATTTTGTAAATGTCGGACTGTACTGGGGCTGTTTCTGCACATGACCTGTCTAGCCATATCTCTAAAAAAATCAAAATCAAGGGACACTGTTCTCATGGGCTGGTCCCTAAGCTTCAGTTGAGATGGCTTGGCTCTACAAGTTAAATTACGTCAATTTCGTTCCAATTGGCTAAGTAACAATCTGAGCCAGGCAGTCATGAGGGAAAAAGCAAGGGGGAATCCCTGAGATGATGGGGCTGGAAAGGTCTTGGCTGTGAGTCACACTTATGGGGCAAGAGAAACTGTAAGTGCCAGGCATCAAAAATCCTCAAAATACCCCAGTCCCTTCACCCGCAGCTCCGATTCTAGGAATTTATTCTTAAACAGTGATACACCAAGATATCTGTGCTAAGAATGTTTGGCACAGTACTGTTTATAATGAAAAAATACCACCCATCTGAATGTAGGGGACTCTATGGACAATAAATAAAAAATAGCTGGGTGTGGTGGTACACACCTGCAGTCCTTGCTATTCGGGAGACTGAGACTGGAAGATCACTTGAGCACAGGAGTCCGAGGCTGCAGTGAACTATGATGGTGCCACTGCACTCCAGCCTGGGTGACAGAGTGAGTAAGACTCTGTCTCACAACAAACAAACAAATGACAACAAAACGTAGCCAATAAAAATTATTAGCTTAAACAGAAACTTTAAAAAAGAGCAGAGAAGAAAAAGATGAAAGGTGCACACTAAATCATCAGTTGTCTTGGGTGGTAACACTTCAGGTAGTTTTTCTTTATTTTGTTTCTTTTTTTTTTTTTTGAGACAGGGTCTCCCTTTGTTACTGAGACTAGAGTGCAGTGGTGCAATCAGGGCTCACCTCCCAGGCTCCAGGTGATCTTCCTGCCTCAGCCTCCTTAGTAGCTAGGACCACAGGCATGCACCACTACACTCAGCTAATTTTTAATTTTTTAGTAGAGATGTGCAGGGCCATGCTGTCTCCAGCTTCAGGTATCTTGACCTTGTCCCACATCCTCTCTCTGCACTCTTGGCTTTGGTGTGACAATGTGACTGTTGGCACCAGCCTGAGACCCTTGAGGGGAAGATACAAGGCTGGCCAGGGCCTTAGTGTACAGTGGCCCAGGCGACCCAACTCTGGGCAGGAGAGAGATGGGACCACAGGGAAGGAAAGGAGAGGAGGTCGGCCTTCCTGAGTCCTGCTGCGTGATGTAGTTTCATCTTCCTAACAGCCCCCTGATGCGGATATCACCATCATCCCCATCTTCCAAGTGAAGATACTGAGGGAGGCTGTGGAGTCTCCCAAGTTACAAAGTGAGTAAGGGATGGTCTATTCCAAGCCTGAGGATAGTTCAGACTTACAGGAAAAGGGTTACCATTCCACCCCTACTTGCTGGGCACACGGTGTGCCCAGTACCATTTCATGCACTTGGGACATAGCAGATGGAAACAACTAGGCCCCTGCCTGCTGGGAGCTCACATTCCACAAGAGAGAGACAAGTAAACATGGAGTTACCAGAGGGTGACAGCTGGTAAGCAGGGGAAGGGAGGACAGAGTGCTGGGTGGGTGGGGAGGAGGAGAGTGACCACCAAAGAGGGTGTGGTCAGGGAAGGCCACTCTGATAGGACTAGAGTGTGTCAAAAATGTGCAGGAGGCTTGTGATATTTGGTGGGAGTTGGGAGAACTACCGGATGGCTCAGGACAGAGGAGTGATGTGATTGAATGTGGATGGCTCTGCTGTTCTGCTGAGAACAGACTGCAGGGCCAGGTTAGGAGGCTCCAGGCAGACAGTGTAGGAGGCTCCAATTGTCCAGACAAGAGACAATGGTCACTTGATACTGGTGACAACGGTGGAGATGATGAGAAGTGACTGGGTTTTAAATAGATGTGGAAGGGGCATGAAACAGTATTTGTGCAAGCACAGGATATGGTGTGTGAGAGAAACGGAAGAGTGAAGCACGTCTCTTAGGCTTTAAGGCCTAAACACCTGGAAGAATGACACTGCATTATCAGATGGGGAGACTGAAGGAGGAACAGTCTGGAGTAGAGTCGGAGTCTGTATTCAGTTTTAAGTTGAGAAGCCTGTGAGACATTGTGTGGGGAAAAACCTACTCCTCTAACTGTGCTTTTTCCTCCACTTTCACACCACAATGATCATCAGCACAGAAGAAAACCTCTGTGACCAAATGTGTGGGGGTCTCACCCCACCACTAAGCAGCGTACACCAGCCAGGTGTCCTCCAATCCAATTCTGACACCGTCTACCTGAAGACAGTGTTAGATCCCACAGCTTAAGGCTCAATCCCCCAGACTGTTCCCACCTCCCTGCCCAGTTGCAAGCCCAGGGCTCTGGAATTTCTCACCAGTTGGCTTCAACTGGGGTTCTAACAACTCCTTCTGGGTTCGGCTGATTTGCTAGAGTGGCTCACAGAACTCAGAGAAACACTTACCTAAGTTTATCAGTTTACTAAGAAGTGTGTGTGTATGTGTGCATATATGTGTACATATATATTTTGAGATGGGGTCTTACTATACTGTCCAGGCTTGAGTGCAGTGGGACAATCATGACTCACTGCAGCCTCGACCTCCCAGGCTCAAGTGATCCCCCATCTCAGATTCCCAAGCAGCTGGGACTACAGGCCTGTGCCACCATGCCCAGTTATTTTTGTTTTTATTATTATTTGTAGATACAAGGTCTCATTATGTTGCCTAGCTGATCTCCAACTCCTGGGATCAAGTGATCTACTCGCCTTGGCCTCCCTAAGTGCTGGGATTACAGGTGTGAGCCTTCTCAGGGTCACAGCTCCTGGCCCTAAGAAGGATATTTTAAAGGATAAACATCCAGATCAACAGATACACAGGGCAAGGTCTGGAGGGGTCCTGAGCGCAGGAGCTTCTGAACCTGTGGAGTTGGGGGTGTGCCAGCCTCCTGGCACATAGATGAGCTCTTCACTTTCCTGTTGGCCTCCACAGCTTTAGCTTTCTAGAAGCTCCCTGAACCCAGTTTCTTGGGTTTTTATGGAGGCTTCATGATGTCAGCATTCCTTCCCCCAGGGTACAGGGTAGGACTCTCTTAGGGGAGGATCCCAAACCCACAATCTGAAAGACGGGAAAAGATTAGAGTCCAGCTTGGTGCACATCAAATAGGAGGGCAGGAGAGATTGTTTCCCGAGGCCTAACACATCCAGCATTGCAACAAAAGACTGTAACAAGGGATGTGGACATTATGAAACAGAAACTGTGGACAGACGCCAATACATATTATATCGATAGCTCCAAATATATACGTATATCTTATAACACCATAGGCCACTCCTTGGTTTTCAACCACAGATTCCCTTATACCAAAACAATTGTACCTATCAGAACATCTGTTGTAGAATTTATAAAACAGATATAGCAACGCCGCCAATCAAATGCACCTAATATCTGGAGAAGCAAGTGTGGGTAGGGATATATTTAAACAAATAACTAATTTGTACCATGAAATCCTACACTTTCATAATCGTGTACTAGGCTCACTGTTCTTTCCCACCTTGGTCTACTGCTATTGCACCTTATGATAAACTTGTGCAGAACTGTTTAGCACAGAGATCAGCTGATGGTTAGTGAGATACAGTTCCTTCTTAGGCCAGTCATTTTCCACAGGTTTACATCTTGAGTGGGCTTCAACTCAACCTCCCAATACATCTGCTCATCAGTAT